GGGAAAAGTCGGGGATTATTTGAACCCTTGGTGTTGTCATAAGTGGTTTCGAGTAGGTGGGGGCATGCTAGGAGTTGCAGGGGAGGAAAAATAATATTCTCTCTATCCTTCTAGGGTCTTGGTTGGGACCCCTCTGTAGTAAAAGATAAACAAGAGAAAAACAAACAGAAGTTTAATAACATGTATACCTCCTGCATACATGGGAAATATCCAGGAAAACTGAGTAACTCCCCAAAATGGGCCAAGCTACCACTTTAAATACTATTTTCAGCTAACGTCGAAAGACGTTGGGAGGGCTGGGGGTGGAGGATGGCTTTTTAATTGGAGGTTACAAGTAAAAGGACAGTAACAAGGAAAAAATGTGTATGGTTGTCATGTAGACCAAAGTCTCTGCCTGTCCATTGATCAGAGTTTCTAGAGATTCGGTCATCCCCCTCTTCCCGGTACAGAGAGAAACATCCTTACAAATGAAGATTCCTTTATAAAAGTGAATGTTTCTTACATAAGGGCAACTTCTACTTAGTTTTCAGAGCTTCTCCTGTGTCTGCTGTTTCTTAAAAATAATCAACCTAAAATAATCCTTATGACAAAGAGGCATATTTTGGGGTGGCATATTCTGCTCCCCTTCAGAGCTGAGGTCACAGGGAACACAGATGACCTTTATTATACTGTCCTTGGTCCTAGGGACCATTTCCATCAGCAGTGAGAGATGCTCAGAGCCAAACACAGGTTTGATGTGCGCAGGATCCATGCTGAAAAGGATCACTTCAGGCTCTTCAGCAATTCTTTCTAAGGACACACCTAGAGACAAGATTCATCCCAACACTGAAAGAATTTTCTTGAGGGATGCTTTGGAGGTAAGACTTTCAATTCAGTTAGGCCTCCTGCCAACCAGGCACATGCCAGTTCCCAAATCACATTGGTAGAAGAGTAGAGCCCAGCAATAAAATACCTGAAAATTATAACTTGCTCATAAGCAGGCCCTGACACCAGCTGAGTGAAGTTTTCCTGTAAACTCACTTTTGTCATTCACAGCAGGTCTTCCCTGAGGCTTCTCCTGTCAACTCGGTCCCTGGAGAAGTGCCCAACCGTCAACACCCACACTTATCCTAGCACCTTTGTTCTCAAAATGAACACTCTCTTTGAAGACTATAAAGACTCAGATTCAAATATCATCATAAATTGTTAAAGAAATGAGTCCATGTGAATATAAACAGCTATCGAACAGGCAAGATGCAACAATACATATTATTTTCCAATCCAAAAAACAGTGATTAAATCAAAAGATTTTCATGAGTGGCTCTAAATTTCAGTGAGCCGGGCCAGAAAATGCCTGAGAGGACGAATATTACCCACAAAGAGTTGAGGTGAGTGGTTCTTAACTCCTTTTTATCTTCACATGATGCTTAAAACCCAGTTGTATTAGGTTCCTATTGCTGCCATAGGAAATCACCACAGACTCTACGGCTTAAAACAACACAAACATTATCTTGCAGTTCTGCAGTTCAGAATTCTGAAAAGCAAGATGTTGGCAGGACTGCGTTCCTTCAGGAGGCTCCAGGAGAGAATGCATTTCCGTGTCTTTTCCAGCTTCTAGAGATTGTCCATGTTCCTTTGTTCTTGGCCCCTTCCTGAATCTCCAAAGCTCATCTCTCCAACCTCTGATGCTGCCATTGCAGCTCTCTCTCTGTGATCCTCCTGACTTCCTCTTATAAGGGTCCTTGTGATTATATTGAGTCCACCTAAATAATCCAAGATGATCTCTTCACAAGTTCTTTAACCTAAATGTAGCTACAAAGTCCTTTTTGCCACACAAGGTGATGTATTCCCAGGTTCCAGAGATGAGGATGTGGACATCTGTGGAGGGCCATTAGTCAGGTTACTTCACTAATTAACTGATTCCTATTGAACATTTCTAAGTCATTCTTTCCTTCCATTTAAAAGTATTGGGTATAAGGAACATAACATAAGGAATCTGCTAAGTTATAGTGACACAAAAATGAATAAGACTTTGCTCGTAACAATAAGAAAATCATCTAATACTTATTCAGTTCTTGATATCTGCTAGACACCCTGAGTATTTAATTCTTCTTCTCATCTCATAGTAAACGTGTGATGTAGGCACTATTAGTTTCTCCATCCTACAGCTGAGAAACCTGAGTCACTGAGAAGTTAAGTAATTTTCCAGTTTAAAAATCAGGCTCTGAACCTAGGCCGCATGTCCCCGAGCCTGTCACTTGCCTAGTTTGCTGCCAGACGGTCCTCTTTACAGTTCAATATCTACTTCTTGTCAGTATAAATCATTCAGACTTCAGCTAACTTTAAGAACAGTTCCTGGCACGTAGTAAGTACTCTGTAAATCATAATGATGGCAGTGATGATGATGACGGTAGTTATGATAATGAGGACTTGAAGAGCAAATTGGCTATCTTTATTAGGGAAAGGTTTGGCTAAGCAAGGGCTGAGCTCTAATGCTCACTTACTCATTAGCACTGCTGAGATATTACATCCAAACATAGAAGGATGAAATGACTGGGAGTTCCAGAAGCCAGGTCCTGATGAGCAAGGGGGAGAGTAACTAGTTCTCAATCGCCATTTTTATCTGAAGACTCTGCTTATCTGCTCCTGGAATGAAACACTGTATTTGTCCTACAGCTTCCCTAATTATCAACTAATTAAGGAAATGATGGATAACTACTGCCTCTTCCCAGTAGTACAACAAGGGAGGTGGGCCAGGCCCTAAGCAAAGGGGTGTGACGGATACACAGCATGGCGTCTGCCATTAGCAGCCTAATCTCAGCTCCCAGGACAGTAAACCCAGCCAACCTTTTAAACCGCCCGGTGATTAGATTTACTCAACATTATGCCCCCTCTCAGATGTCCAAATCCAGGAAATTCTATATCATCTCACACTTAAGCTAAACATATTGAAGTACACAAATTAACATCTCAGTTTATTAGCAGCAACAAAAGGAAATGTCTACAAATGCAAACTTAATCATGATAATTGAATTTCTATTAACCATCCTGGGAGGTATAGCTGTACTAACAGGAAGGGAAAGAAAGTCATTTTAGTTGCTACCATGACAAAATGAGACTCCACGGAGATTAATCCCAACATTTTACTTACTTTAATTATTTTCTTCATTTTCTGAACCACTCTCACCCCCATCACTGTCCCTCCAATGGTTCTGGGTTTTAATCTTGCATTTTATTTCAAGCATATCATCACACTGGCTTTCTTTTTGCTGTATCAGTTTTTATTTGAGTCTATTAAAATAAATAATATTTAAGCCTTTGAACAAAAGTATTGAGTCAAGCCTAAATAACCACTTATAGACCAGGTGATGATGAAAATCACTTTATCTTGTAAGATTTCCAGATCAAATACAAGCCGGAAAGGCACATGAGGCACCATTATGATAGTTGCACAAGGTTCATATCAGAAAGCCCTGAAACTTGTAACATCCAGTTTGAAAGATTGGGGACACAAATTCTACACATATTTTCAAGCCAATCTGGCATTCATTTATTCAACACTTATTTAGTGAGTGATTATTACATTAGGGGCAGTGTTCTATGGGAGTGGATGCATCTGTATCAGGAGTGAGGGTGAAGATGGAGAATGTCAGAGAAGCTTCACAGAAGAGTTGGTCTTTGATATGTAATTTTAAAGAGATGGATGAGTAGAGAAGAGGAAGTGAAAAGAAATTGCAGACAGATAAAGCATTAGGAATAAAAGAGTGGAAGAAGGCTGGTTGAGCAAAAATCTTGAGGGTGTGAATGCCAGTCTAGAGATTTGGGAATTTTCTTTGGTAGGTAATAGAATGCCATGCCCAGGAAACTCATTAGAGATGAGTGGGAAAAAAGGGATAAGAGGATTCTCTCCGTGTTGGTCTCTCACTCCTTGCATTCTACAGATGTGCTGAGCCAGAGTAGGAAAGCAGTGTATTAGTTCCCTGTTGCTGCTGTAACAAGTTACTACAAACTTGGTAGCTTTCAACAATACAAATTTATCTTGCAGTTCTGAAGTCAGAAGTCCAGCGTGGTTGCCCTTGGCTAAAAACATGTGTCAGCAGAGCGGTGTTCCTATCTGGAGGCTCAGGGGGAGCAGACTTTCCCTTGTCTTTCGAAGCTTCTAAAGGCTGCCTGCTTTCCTTGGCTCATGGCCCCCCTCCTCCATCTTCAAAGCCAGCACCTTATGACCTTCTCAGTCTCATTTCTCTGGTTTTTCTGTTTTGTCCCCCTCTTCCACTTTCCAGGAGCCATTAGATTATAGTGGGCCCACTCAGATAATCCAGGAGAATCTCCTTATTTTAAAGCCAGCTGAATAGCAACTTTTATTCTATCTGCAATCTTGGTTCCCCTTTTGCCGTGTATCATAACATATTCACTCATTCCATGGATTAGGACATGGGCCTCTTAGGGAGGTGGTGGCACTATTCTGCCTACCAGTCAGGAAAGGCACTGAGTGGGGGGAACAATGATGAGATAGACTTGGAACATTCTGAGGTTATAACACTGGGTATTCTTTTAGTGGGAGAGCCTTATAAAAACGCATGGTTCCCAAAGCCTGGGGCTTTTAGCTGGTCACGAACTCAATACGAGCCAATCATTTGTTCAGGAAAGACCATGGGCTTTGGGAGTGATGCTGGCCACATTCTGCCAGTAAACCCACTGTATATTAGATACCTGTATTAGGTGCAGAATTAGACATTGAGTTAAGTCTCTTTCATTAATGAATCTCATTAAAAAGTCACAAGAACCAATTTTTTTTTTAATTGATGAGGACACTAAGTTTGACAAGGCAAGTTCAGCTAATACCAAGCAGGAGGAGAAAATGTCTGATTTCAAATCACTCAAGCTTAAGGTTATTTCCTTTCCTTGTTTGAAGGAAAATCAGGAAATTAGATTGACCAGTGAGATGAATTGTGCAAGTGCAGTGAATTGATAAAGTATTTTTTTTTACAAAAGTATCTTTCTTCTAAAAAACAAAATCCAGCTAATCTAAAAGGATGCAGAATCACTTTAAGAGTATTAATAAAAGCTTACTTTTATTGAACTCTTACTTAATATCAGGCAAGGGACTGAATGGCAGGCAATCTTCTGAAGAGTACTATAATAAGCATCTTTTTTTCCTATTTCACTGAGAAACAGATGCAAGCAATATTCCTGCAGTTGTATCTACCTGCCTCCTCATGTTGGCATCAAATACCGCTTTCCCTCCTATTACAATGAAGAACTGGCCATGAACCTATCTATCTTGGATCAACTCCTTCACTTGTGGATTAGATCTTATTCCACCCACCTATTCAAAAACACTGCTTCTGCTAATGTCCACTCTCTCTTCTGCAGTGTTTATTTTTCCCTCTTCACTGGATCATTCATATTAGCGAAAATGTAAACCGTATGTTCTCCCATCTTAACAAACAAATATCTCTTTTGATTCCACTGCCCCCATCAACTTACTCTGTTCCACACAGAGAAAAACTGTTTGGAGAGTTGTCTATGCTCTCTGTGTACCATTCCTTGCCTCTGATTTCTCCCTCTCAAACCCCCCCACCTCTAGTCAGTGACTGGTGCCCCTACTATACCACCAAACTACTCTTGCAAAGGTCGCTTCTGACTTGGGCGATCATACAGTTTATCACCCAAACTGAGACACCTTTGAGAGTGAAAAGAGTGCCGTTAACAACTACATCAGGATAATAGGCAAAAACCTGGGTGGTCCATGGGCAAACCCTGTGTCTTAGACAGGGTTCTATAGAAGTAGACGCTGTAATGGAGAGTTCCATGCAGAAGGTTCATGGGGCAGCATTCCAAGAGGCACAACTGGAAGAAAGTGAGGAAGGCAAGATTAGGCAGAGGTGGAAGCTGACTCACCATGTGCCTACAAGTGAGGCTCAGCCCATCCTATGGGAGAGCTCTGAAGCCATGTTGGACCTTCATAGTGATGTTAAATTGAGGTAAGTTGGCTAACATTTGTGTCCCTGCGTCAGCCGTGGGCTGCCTATTGGGAGCTAGGGATTGTAACTTTGGGTGAGGAAGTTTCTTGTAGACGAGGGCAATTCCAGTGAGAGATACAGATGCAAGCCACAAGCAGCTGATATTCCCAATGGCTGGGGACACCTATGTCAGCCCTGAAAAGGGGGCATCTGGGGGGCATACTTTATTATCTATTACACTAAAATGTAGGGTCCTTCTACCAATGTCTGTCATGTGACTGAACACAATGATCAAGTGTCAGTTCTCACCTTAATAGGTGACATAGGCGATCTGTCCCTCTTCCTTGACATATGTTGACTTCTTCTCGTCTGGATATCACCTTGTCCTGGTGTTCCCATTCTCTCACTGGTCTCTTTTCAGCCTCCTAGTCTTGTGCCTCTTAATTTCTTTGATTAGTGACCCCTGAGCTCTGTCTTCTCTCACTATCCTAACTCCCCAGGTCAGGGTCTGCAAATTATTATTCAAAGGACAAATCCTGATTGTCTGTTGTGGTAAATCAAGTTTTCCTGGAACACAGTCACACTCATTCCTGTTGTCTATGGTTGCTTTTATGTTATAACCACAAAGTGCATAGTTGTGACAGAGAACGATGGCCCACAAAGTCAAAAATATTTCCTATCTCGTCCTTTGCAGGAAAGGTTTGGCCACCCTTACTCTAGGGGATCTGATTTCATGTCTAAGAAGAGAGCATCTCCTTCAGGTCTTTGCAGACATCATCTCTAGAGTGAGGTTCTTTCTGCCTTCACCACCTACAAACACCTCACATATTCTCTATACCTCTTCCTCATTTTAATTTTTCTTCCTTGTCACTATCTGTGTTAGTCAGAGTTCTCCAGAAAAACAGAACCAGTAGGATGTGTACATATAAAGAGAGAGATTCATTTCGAGGAATTCACTTATGTAATTATGGAGCCTGGTACGCCCAAACTCTTCAGGGTGGGCTGGCAGCCTGGAGATCTAGGGAAGAACCCATCTTGTAGTTCAAGTCCAAAGCTCACCTGCTGCAGTATTCCTTCCTGCTTGAGGAAACTCAGTCTTTTGTTCTATTACATCTTCAACTGATTGGATAAGGCCCACCCACATTATGGAGGATGATCTGATTTATTGATTCAGTCCACTGATCGAAATGTTAATTTCATCCAAAAATGTCCTCACAGAAACATCCACAGTAATGTTTGACCAAATATCTGGACACCATGGCTCAGCCAAGCTGACACATATATTAACCATCACACCACCTAATGTACTTGTATATTTTATTGTGTTCTCCTACCCCAACTTAATAACGAGCTCCACGTGGAAGGGATTTTTGTTTGTTTTGTTGATGCCACACATCCCGAGTTCATAAAGCAGTTGCCCAGTCATAGCTGGTGTTTAATATATATCTGTCTGTTGAATGAATGGTTTTTGATACCATATACGTAACTCTCAAGTGTCTATCTTTGGCCTAGATCTTGTTTGGAACTTCTAGCAAGTATATCCAGTTACCTCACAGGCATCTCCACTTGGATTTATAAGGAATTTCAATATAATGTGTCAAAATGCAACCGACGACTTTCTCCCTGACACCGCCCCCATCTCCTTCAGTGAGTCCTTCCCTGACCCGCAGCCCCCGCCCCGTTTAAAACAGCACAGCCTCTTTCCCTCCCTCCTTCTTTATTTCTCTCAACCATACTTATCACTGTCTAATGTACTATCTATTATACTAGTTTATTTATTTGTAACCAGTAACCGTCCCATGACGAAAGTTACTTGAAGGAACAAATTTCTTTCTTTGTTTTATATTTTATTGTTTGCCTTAAGTTTGCTTTTTTTAAAAATTGTTTATTTTTTTTAATTGCAGTAACATTGGATTATAACATTATGTAGCTTTCAGATGTACATCGTAATATATTTCGAATTCTGTGTAGATTACATCATGTTCACCGCCCAAAAACCAATTATAGTCCATCCCCTCACATGTGAGCCTAATCACCCCTTTTGCCCTCCCCCCACTTTCCCTACGGTAACCACCAACCCAGTCTCCAATGCTATGTGTTTGTTTGTTGTTGTTTTTATCTTCTACTTATGAGTGAGATCATATGGTATTTGACTTTCTCCCTCTGACTTATTTCGCTCAGCATAATACCCTCAAGGACCATCCATGTTGTCACAAATGGCCGGATTTCATCATTTCTTATGGCTGAGTAGTATTCCATTGTGTATATATACCACATCTTCTTTATTCATTCATCCCAGATTTCTTTCTTTTACTTTCCTTTTTTTAAAAAACTGTTTTACAGAGGCTGACCCGGTGGCTCAGCAGTTAAGTTCATGCAGTGGCCCAGGGTTTGCCAGTTTGGAGCGGGGCAGGGACCTATGCAACGCTTATCAAGCCATGCTGTCGAAGGCGTCCCACATATAAAATAGAGGAAGAGGGAACAGATGTTACCTCAGGGCCACTCTTCCTTAGCAAAAAGAGGAAGATTGGCAGCGAATGTTAGCTCAGGGCTAATCTTCCTCAAAAAGAAAAAAAAATAAAAAGATAAAACTGTTTTACGCTTTCTTGCTATATCCCCAGTCTCTGAAACAGTGCTTGGTGTATTTTATGTAAGCATATCTCAAATCTCAATATAGAAAATGAACAAAAAAGTTGCTACTCTAGTTAAAGAGAATGTAAATGCATAGAAATAATGCCACAAAGCCACCTACCTGTCCCAGAAGCATCTCTGCAGAAGTGGGCACATCCTAGAATATTCTAATCCACAAGCCTGTTAGAAGTCCCACCGCTCATTATATAAAGCACATTAAAATGCACCCACATTACAAGTTAAACATAAGTCTTTGCTCTAAAATTTGGCTTTGAATTAAATTGGCTATGAGTAACTGCTTAACGTTGATTCTGACTTCATATCAATCATTGCCTGTTTTCTGAAAAACTTTCAAGAAGGAGAAAATTCTAACCTATAAACTGTTTTCAATTATGACAATATGTTCACAGATACTAAATCCAACACTTAATATGGTTGGAAAAAATGCCATAAAGTAGATAATAAATGATAAATGAAATATTTGTTAATGCCAAACCAATTTTATAATTTCTGTATTTTTGAGCCAATACATTTCTTTTTTGGAATTTTTTGTTGGCCTCTGGCAGTTAGATTCAAAAGAGCCTGTCCAGAACCAGAATGTGTTTTATTTATTTATTTTTCTTTTGGTAAGGAAGATTGGCCCTGAGCTGACATCTGTTGCCAATCTTCCTCCATTTGCTTGAGGAAGATTGTCCCTGAGATAACAACCCTGCCAATCTTCTTCTACTTTATATGTGGGATGCCCCCACAGTGTGGCTTGTTGAGCGGTGTATATTTTCACGCCTGGGATCTGAAGCTTCGAATCCTGGGCGGCAAAAGTAGAGAGCACAAACTTAACCACTAAGCCATTGACCTGGCCACACAAGGTGTTTTAAAATCCACTTGTGTCAGGAGTCTGAGGAAGTCATTTGGAGTCAGTGTGCAGAGGCCCTTTAATACCACGCGTCAACGATTAAACTTGCTGGTAAAGGCAGTTGGGGGCTGTGGCAGCCTCTGGTGTGCACCACTCAGATTTCCCTTCAAGAGAGAACTTGCCTTGTAGGCTGACAGCCTGCAGCTGTGGGCTCTGCCTCAGCTTTAGAGCTGAGGCCGTGCTCTTCCTGAATAGCTCCCGGACCGTGACTACATGTGGTGGTAACACTGGGCCTGTGTCATTTCTGCCTAAAGTGGACTCCTCCAACACAGGATCCTTGGGCCAGAGACAGCATTGGTCTGGCTGGGACTTTCTCATAGATGCACTGCAGTCAGAGGACGCTTCTAACCAACCCTCCTTCCTTCCTCCTCTTTTTCCACAGATGTCAGACCTGTAATGGTCTGAAGGTCTTCTTGCTACCTCTGCTCTGCTCTCTCCCTCTTTATTTTTCACAGACGTTGCCCTCAATACATTTCCTGTGCTTCTCTGTCTTGACATCTGCTTCCTGTAGGACCCAAATGTCAGAGGGGCATAATCTAAGGTACTTCGCCTGACTTTTAAAATCATCATAAACTAGATCAATAATGCCTAGTCCAACTGGTTCCCCAGTGTTTCCCACACGGCCCTCCTCTGCAGGCAGGCAGACTCCAGCATATGCTGGTGATGCTGCCTCTAACATAGTCTCCACTTATCTAGGCCTGGGCTCATATGCTGTTTTCTGTGCTCCATGATTCCATGCATCCAAATCCTCGTATCTCAAAATTCAGTTTAATGCCGTAACCCCAGACTTTGTGAATCTCCAAAATTCTACTGCATTTAGAGGAAAAATCTCATAGTCCATCCCTTACATATTTTGTTTATCTATTTAATTTTAATATTCTTGAGGTCAACTAATAAACTTTATAGCCCTTTTCTCTCTCATCAGCTAGTAGACTTTTAAAAATAGTAGATTCTTGGGGGGCCGGCCCCATGGCCAAGTGGTTGAGTTCACGCGTTCTGCTGCAGGCGACCCAGTGTTTCATCGGTTCGAATCCTGGGCGTGGCCATTGAGCCATGCTGGCGCAGCGTCCCACATGCCACAACTAGAAGGACCCACAACTAAGAATATACAACTATGTACCGGGGGGCTTTGGGGAAAAAAAGGAAAAAAAATAAAATCTAAAAGTAGTAGATTCTTAAAAATCTTTTGTTTTGGAACATAGTAGAGCCTTAAAAATTTTTTTGTTGATGGATTCAGATGTATGCACCAAAGACTGAAATGCTTTGGAAATAACTGAAACAGCTAAAGTCTAATAGCAGCTACTATCAGGTATTAAAGAAAATAGCTGGACCTCAGAGCCTGTAGGGAAGTAGTCGTGTTTCTAACTAAATTTCAAACTTGTTAGGAGGTTGTACTGTGATTCAGTGATAAGAAGTCTGGACACTCGGAGGGAGCATAATACAGAAGTGGCTTTATCATATAAATCACATAAGATATATATTAAAAATTCGCATACAACCTTGACCAAAGCAGTTTTATTAACTCCTCTGCTAATGCAAACCACTTTCTGGGGGAAGGGAGAAACAAAAATACTCTTTGCCTTCTCTTTTTCCAAAGTCACGATTTATTTAATGAGTCTGAAACGGGATCTTTTTCAGGAAGTAATCCTGACAAACATATGCTTATCTCCTTTTGACAGCAACAATAAACTGAGATTCAAGAAAGCAGGGGACAGGAAGAAAAGAGGTTTGTGAGGTAGGTGTGTGGGTGGCTATGCAAACCTGGGTCTACGAGCTTCCACCATGAACAAGAACCGGCTTCGTGGGAGAAAGCAGAATGTATCACCGCCGACAAATATGGAGGATCTTTTGAGTCCTATTTGCCCTCTGGAGGGCATGCGACTCAACGAGACAGCACTGGGAAAGAAAACAGACAGTGTTTGAAAACCTAGCACCCAACATCCTGAGAGCCAGTTCCTCTCCTGGAAACTGAGGAGGCAGGGGTCAGGAAACTTGGAGCCTTGAGGTCCCTCAGGTAAAGAGAGATCAAGACACAGGAAGAGCACAAATAAATTTCAGGAAAATAGTTTAGGTGTTTCACTTCCGGATGGTTGGTTGCTCTTCTCTTTTGAATCAGGAACAATGAACCAATAGAAAACTCTTTATGAAAGAGAAAGTTCTGCCCACTTTTATAATTGTAATACTGCACTGATTCATAAAATTTAGTATATCATTTCTTTTCAGAGTCAATTTGAAGGTCACTATAATCTTTCTGTGTGGCAAAGCTGGTTAAGTGGCAATAAGGATAAGAGTCACTCCCTACTACACTCATTTTGTTATGTGATCCTTTTGCTACATATTTTCAAAACCTACTAATGACAAGGATCTGCTTCCAAAACAGAATGATTTAATTTAATGTGAATTTCTGTCAAAAACAAGTTACAGAATGACTTTTTAGTATGACCTTATTTACATAAATGTGTATAAATCTCATCATCCAAATACTTTATCTTTATGTTTTCAAAAAGAAGTGGAACTTTTTGACTTTCGACTGTAATCTCTTGGTGACTCAATTCATAGTACTAACACCCTAGTCCTGGTTCAAGTCCCTCTGATTTACCCACATGGCATTCATTAATTCAGGGATTAGTTTCAGGTCGGAATAAGAGAATTTGAGCTACATCTTTATGATCTCTGCGATGACGGATGCTGTTTATTTTGAAATCACTGTCATGGTTTATGTGAAACATATTGGTGAGGAGTAGAGACTTTCCCATTATCTCCAAGGAGGAGTTCACATCCCTCCATTGTCGAGAGTGGAAATGAAAGCATTCTTATCATTCACAAAAGTTTTTCTTTTAGTAACTGTTCTGCATAAGCAGCGAAAGAAACATTAAGCAAACTTTCTTACTGCATCTGGTAAGAAAGAAACTGGTTATGTCTGTTGTTTTGCTTTATTAGAACTTATGTTGAGGGCCGGCCTGGTGGTGCAGTGGTTAAGTTCGCACGTTCCGCTTCTCGGTGGCCTGGGGTTCGCCGGTTCTGATCCTGGGTGCGGACATGGCACCGCTTGACAAAAGCCATGCTGTGGTAGGCGTCCCACGTATAAAGTAGAGGAAGATGGGCATGAATGTTAGCTCAGGGCCAGTCTTCCTCAGCAAAAAGAGGAAGATTGGCAGTAGTTAGCTCAGGGCTAATCTTCCTCAAAAAAAAAAGAAATTATGCTGATTGGAATAGATCCCTCCTGGACCCCATGAGTCGTAGATTTTTGCTGTTTTATGCATATCCTTAAATTTACAGTGCCACACTAAATTTCTAAGTGTTTGAAGCCTAAATTTGAATCAATATCACTGATGTTAGTATTTCAGAATAAATAATCAATTAGGTATCTGAAAATATGGCAGAAAATCAAAAAAGAATGTTTAAAATCACGAGAGGTTCCTATAAAATGTCATGCTTAGGTAACAAATATAATGCAAGATAATTCAAACTATGTGAAATCTTTAAGAAATATATCCTAGGTGATGACTGAGAAGTATTTTACTGTAGTAATTGATGAACATTTTTCTGTACACTTGACTTTAAAATAAAACAAAAACGTCACTGTTTAAACGACATCTTTGAAAACACAAGCCTTCTGGGAACTTTAACAAAGTAAGTAAGTTTTACTGAGCAAATATTATGCCTATAATAACAAGGAGGCAACACAAATTTAAATTGAGGCCAAAATAAAAAGGAATTAAGTTTTCTAGAATATTCATATCCTAGAGATAGGGATAGTTAACTCTTAGTGTACGGCTTCTGGAGACAGAAAACAACAGCTAGTGGGTGACATGCTACCTGAGGGTCATGGCACCCTTCTGCTCTGAGCAAACTGCATAGTTCCCAAAGCCTCCGCCAGAAGCTGAGCCATGCTGGAGGCTGACTCAAATAGCACTTGCAGAAATTTGATATATCTGCCAAAGCAAGCTGTCAGTTAGCATTTATGAGAATCACACACATATTACCTCTATGGTACCCCATCCCCCTAAGAGGTGTTAATCCACTCAGACTATCGGGTAGGACAATTCAACTACTCTTCAGTAAGGGAGATTAATCTTTTAATTCTTTCTAAATGATTCACCAATCTGGCTTTGATAATTCTAGTTTAATAGACATAGCTGGCTTAACAATCATTTCTCTTCCAGTTATTATTAAACATGTGACTTAAACTTGACTGCACAGTCACCTCCTTGCCTCAAGGGCAAGTCTGGGAGATGAAGTGAGGCTGAGAAGAGTGTGCAGAGGGAGGACAGGGTGAGAAAAAGACATCTCCCAGGGGTTCTTAAAATTTAGTGTGAATCAGAGTACCCCTGGGGTGCAGACAACTGCAGAATCTGGAATCCGACATCCCATAATTCTGGTTCAGAAGGTCAAGGGTAGGATTAGGTTTAGGAATCAGAATATCTAACAAGGACTTTTGATAATTCTGATGCCAGGGGTCTGAGGACATACCTTGAAGAGTTCAGCTTTGTGTAAATGAAGGTTTTGATCTTTTACCTAACCTCAGCTTCCTTTTAAAAATAACCTTTGAGTTAGAGGAGCTATAAAGCGATCATCCTGTTCTTGAAGACAGTGGGTAGTTGACTCATCTTCTGTCCCATGGGCACTAACTGACATTTATCCTCAGCAGTCACTTTCACAGCACACACATTTTTTAATAATAGCACACTCTGTGGTTATCAGCTTCATAAATGGAAATATACACAGCAGTGGTGGCCTTTTATTTATAAACTCATTTCAAAGAGAAGTCAGAGCAGTTAGCTGTGTGCTGTCTGTTTACTAAACAGAGTTTAAGCCATGGGCGTAGACAGAAGAGATCCTTTCAGCTTAATATCTACCAGATGATTAAAAAAGTTTCCAGTAACTTCCTGCCCTCAACCTACCCAGCAAAGCAGCAATATCTGCAAAATAGTTAGGGTACAGTGTGTGCTTAATTTGTTCCAAACATTGCAAGATTTTCACATTAACATTAATGGCTTGCTTATAGGAGAACCCTAGAGGCCACATTAAATAATCGGAGGCTCAAAAGTTGTAGCTAAAAAGGAAGTGTTAAAAAAAATTGCACATACTGTTTGGGTGTGCTCGACCAAAAGATTGAGGTTCAATGTTCACATTGTTCTCTCCAGACAGTACTAATTTGTTTCCAATTAAAAGAAAATGGATTGCAAATGACTTCACAGAGCAGTCTGACCAAGGGAATAAGGCCTAGCTTCTAATGTTGCCTCAGGAGCAGTGTTTCTGCCGCAGGGCACAAATCTAGATTTCATTGAACAGAGTCACTGTGTCTAAAGAGAAGAGTTTGGTTGTTCTGGTGCTGGAATTTATTGTGCTGTTTAAGCTAATTAGTGTCCTCTATTCAGGTAGTTTGCAGAAGCTTACTGGTCTTTATGGAGGGGAGAGATTAATAAACTTGCATCACATTCATTTTGAGTAATTGTTAATGATTACCCTCATTTTTAATAATGTAAAGCTTTTTCCCCCTTGTCATGAGAGGGTAATTGTTTCCTTATGATCCTCATGTCTTTGATATCTGGACAATGAGGTATGAGGCAGGCATCTTGTGAAGTAAGGGAGACAGAGAAAGGAAGTGTTCTCATTGGTATAATAAAAGACACTGAAGATTTGTGACCCCCTCCAACTTCTGACAAGCTAAGGTTGGGAAATGCTTCTCATTCCTACATTCCCATTAGAGTCCAGGAAGCAAGAGAAATGAGGATGTTACCATAAGGAAAGGGAAATACTCTTGCCATTGAAAAAATTAAGACATATACCAAAGCTTAGCTCACATACATGCTCTTCACCTCCCTTCCATAGCTGGGAGGACTGGGACGTTGACAATTGCTAATTAGAAGCACAGAATTCCTACGTACATTCTCTAGAGAGAATCTGGATCTCCAAGGTATGATTGTGTCTGTGTGGACTTAGCCCTATGCATTGAAAACTACGGGTCAAAGTAACGTCTTTAAAATAAGAAGTGAATTGTTTCTAGTAAGAATAATCCATTGAACTGGGTCAAATATTGGAATAGAATGAACTCAAACAGCTGTTCCCCTGAGTTCTGGTGCCTAACAGTGAGGACTGTGCTTATATCAAGAGAAACAAATCTCAACTCAAGAGATTATTGGAACAAAAGAGATTGTTGGGGAGAAAGAGAAAGAGAACTCTGACTTGTCCAAATCTCATTGAATAAGGATCTTCATCTCCTGAATCTTTAAAGATAGTAGAAACTAACATACACTGAGCAACCACATAGATATCTCATTATTCTTTTAAAGCATATCTCTAAAAGTTAAATTGTGTTAAGAAAAATTATCTAAAAGTTGGAAATAAGGCAAAAGGTGGCTGGCATATCCTTTCAATGTTATATAGGAGAATGGACTCCCTCAAGGCCCTGTTTATTATTGTTTAAAATCTCAATTTAGTGAGATTACATATTAACATGCGGATTTTTATCTAGTAGAGATGCAAAGAATTTTTGTCTGGTAAAAAGTTAATCCCAAAGTTAGAGTTTATTGCCCTATAAGATAATTACAAATTTTGTATCTAATCTAGTAATCTATCCTAACTTTCCCTTATTAAATTGACTATAAATACCTAGATCCACAAATATTCTTTAAACTGATCTTAATACTGGTTCCACCATTAACTAAAGAGTTGAATAAAATCTTTGATAAGCTTTCATGGTTCATTTTACTCTTGCATGAGAGTTATGAT